CAAGGCTGTCATCTCTACAGGTGCAGATCTCCAAGTCTTTCCACTTTGGAGCTGCTGGGTGGGTTTGAACCCTGATCCTTCTGTCCAAGCTGGGCACTTTCCTGTTGTGCCATCAGGGCTGCAGAGACTGGAATGTTGCAGGCTGTCATCCTAAATTCTGGGAGGGTTGAGGCTGATGATGATGGTAGATGACCATCGGCTGCAATGTTTTGTTCTTTTATGTGTAAGTTTCACGTGAATCAGACCACACTGAACTATTATATATCAAAAATGTTCCCAGGTACAGTAAGACCTACAGATGTGTAGTTCCTGCCCTACAATGTAGAATTCATGGCGAGTTTGCGTCTGTGGCCAATGAAGCCGTGGTAGCGAGCTGGGGCTTCATTATGTGAAAGTGGACCATGGACGTGATGCTGTCTTCGGTAATTATCCACACTCTCTGGTCTCTCTGCAGCCTTGCTCCGCAGTTTTTGGCTCTCTCATTGTCCGACATTTCACACTTACGACAACAGCGAAAATCTGCTCTCCGAGTATCCTGCACCTTGGTGAAGCACGTCTGGCAGTAACGAACACTGAAGTTCAAGGCGAGAGTCACTCTGGCTCTGATGGTTAAGGTTGTGTCAACTTGGCTGGGCCATGATTCTCAGAGGTCTGGCAGTTCTGTCATGATGAAATTTGTCAGTTACACATGGTGAAATCTGGCAGTTATGTCATGATGAAATTTGGCAGTTACGCATGATGAAATTTGGCAGTTACTTCATGATGAAATTTGGCAGTTATGTCATGATGAGATCTGGCAGTTATGTCATGATGAAATTTGGCAGTTATGCATGATGAAATCTGGCAGTTACATCATAATGAAATTTGCCAGTTACATCATGATGAGATCTAGCAGTTACGTCATGATGAAATCTGGCAGTTATGTCATGATGAAATTTGGCAGTTACATCATGATGAAATTTGGCAATTGCATCATGATGAAATTTGGCAGTTACGCCATGATGAAATTTGGCAGTTATGCCATGATGAAATTTGGCAGTTACGTCATGATGAAGTCATCCTCCATTTTGCAATCTGATGCGGTCAGCCTCAATTTTTGCATCATGCCAATTTTTGCCTAATGACTTGTTTTTGGAACCTAATCATGTTGGCAAGTGAGGAGAAGGTGAATTGATAAGCCTATTCATATGCGTACGCTTCAGTTGAAACTCGTGTGGGAGCTACTTAGCATTGCAGAGGCATGTGTGCTATGACTGTTGCTCTTTGATCTATCGTGTGCTATTCTGGTTTTTAAGGAAGAGAGGAGATGAGTGGTTTTAAAGCAAAGAAACAAACAAAAGTTTGACAACCTGAGTGTGATCCTTCCTAAAGGGTGACTTTCCACTCTTCTCTCCTGGAAGAAAGACTCTTATTGTAAAGTGACTCCAAACTCAATGAAATGAATTCTGCAGTTGTACTCATCCTTCTCCCTGCCTCGCTGCTTGCCAGCATTAAGGAAGTGACTGGGAAGAAGAGGCAGCAATGTGAGATAGACTATCATGGCCAGCTTGCAAGGTACCAAATCCTACAACTCTACATTACCTTGTGAACTTCAGGAAGTCCAGAAAGATCGGAGAATGGTGTGTAAATAAAGAGGGGAGTCCATTCAAAGCCTGATTCTTGGGTTTTTGTCAGTCACGTGGCCACAGTCTCCTCTCCCAGGAAGTCAGCCTTCCTTGTTTTTTTATCTCTTTTCTAAAGGACATTGTAGAGTGACCCAAGTGTCACCCTCTCCTGTCCCCGGGGAGGGTCACCTGCCTCTGGTGCAGGGAGACCTACACGTCTCCAATCAGGAGAATCACCCAACATGTCCAGAAAAGATACGGGGCTGGATCCGGGAATTTTAATAAAGTTCCTTCCAAAAATACCAAACCGGCTGCTGTGGCATTGAATCCAGCTCCCGGTGGCCTGCGTGTGCGTGGTGGACTGTGCGCCTCGGGGTTCCCATGGTTGTGACCTCATGGAAATGGGTCTCCAGGCCTTTCCTCGGCCCCACCTCTGGGGGCAACCGCTCTGTTAGTAGCTGAGTGCTTAACCGTTTGTGCCAGCAGAGTGTCCCGGAGGAGCCCGGCCACGTTCCTGCTTATTGGGACACACGGTGTCCTGGAAGGGTCACAGACATTTGTTTGAGAAGGATGGGCTCCGTCCAAGGGGTGCGAGGTGAGGAGCACCCCAAGCCCCCGTGGGCCCTGTTCACTCACTCACCTCCTGGAAGCACCTGACCTTCTTCCCGATGGAAAGCTGCTGCTGTCCTGCCGGGCTCAGCGAGCCAGGGGCCGGGGAGGGTCCCACTGTCCTTCCTGTCCCATCTCTCATGTGCCACTTCCCCAAGCCCACCAGACACAGCCAGGCCAGAGCCAGGGTCTGGGGGCAGCTGAGGGCTCTATAAGATGGGAGACACCCCTTACATTGTATGCTAAACGCGACCTTCCCGCAGTCCAGACAGAAATGACTGGGCAATGAAACGTACTGTGGGAGAACCGCTGGTGTCCAGACCTGCCCTGTCCCTACGAGGCCTTTCCCTGGCGGGAGAGACCTCTACTCCCATCCGGCACCTGGTCCCCTTCTCCATCCTCCAGGCTCCGCTCCGTGAGGCCAACACAGGGGCCCAACCCACAGGGCTGCACGTCCCAGACGCTGAGCCACCAGGGCAGAATGACCTGAGGGGGTGTAGTGTGTGTGTGTGTGTGTGGGCATGGTGTGTGTGCACATGCTGCATGTGATGTATGTGGTGGTATATGTGTGTGTGGGCGTATGTGTGGTATGCACTTTGATGTGTGTATGTAGTGGTATGTGTGGGCATATGTGTGGTATGCACTGTGGTGTGTGTATGTA